TTGGTTGAACACATACAGATAAAAATTCTGGTACAAACTATTTATTTTATTTGTGTGAGCCTCTCTGCTGTGGACTTCTTCTGACGTTCTTGCTTTTTAAATATTCGGTGTTAAATGAATTCTACTGGAACAGATTTTTTCTTCTCCTTCAGGTGCGATGAGATGAAACTTTATTTGAAACTCTTTTGCCAGTTAATGCTCAGAAAAATAAAAAAGACACAACGTGAGAATAAATGCAGCAGCTGAGAAGTAAAATGTGTGAAATAAAATAAGACTAGAACAAAAAAAAAGCTCTGACAATGATGAGGTAATGAGTCATATCACACGCTGTGATGAAATCCTGCACCTGAGAGATGAAATATCCGACAATGTCGTGCATAGAAATGAGGCGTCGATACCAGGACCGGTTCTACTGGGACACGTGATACAGGAGACGATATTGATCAGTGATCGGATGAATCCTGATCCTGAGCAGAGAGAACGTCGGTTTGTAGGAAGCTTTATCAGGATGAAGACGTTTTGTTTTTGCTCTGACTTTCTGTCACTCGTCTGGATCGTCGGCGCCGACTTGTTTTCCCGAGTTGTGCGGTTTTGTGAACAGACCGACGCGCAGCAGGAACAATATCAGACGGATCGGGCTCAGAACAAACAGGACGGGAACAGAACGCCGCCTCCAGCAGTCAGACTGTAAAGCTCAGAGCCGAGTCGGTGTGTGTCTGCGTTTCATGTCATCGGGTTTGTGTCGGTTCTATCAGAACATATTCACAGTTGTTCTGGTTCTGTACACGTCTGAAGCATATTTAGTCTGGAACATGCAGTTTTATTCCATTTTGTGTCACAAAATGACCACAAATATAAAAACAAAACGACAGTAAAGACACAAAACCACCACAAAAAGATGTAAAATGACGACAAAGAGCCACAAGATGACTGAAAGGAGACGCAAAATACACAACAAGAGACACAAAAACACCACAAAGAGATGATAAATCACCACAGAGACACACAAAACAAGCACAAAAATACACAAAATGAACACCAGCAACCACAAAACGACAAAAAGACACAAAACAGCCCACAATAGCAATCCACAAAATGACGCAAAATGACCAACATAAGACACTACACAACCGACAAGAGACACCAAACTACCACTGGAACGCAACACAATAAAAAAAAGACACAAAAGACACAAAACAACCACAAAGACACACAAAGCAGCCACTGAAAAATGTAGAAAAGAGACACAAAACAACCACAACAAGAAGCAAAAACAATCATCGAAACACAAAACAACCAGAATGAGCTGAAAAATGACGACAATAAAACACAAAATGACAACAAAGAACCACAAAAGCACAAAAAGACCAGAATTGGATGTAAAACAACCACAAATAGACACAAAGTGACCCCAAAAAGGAAGAGAAAGACCAACAAGAGACACAAAACGACCACAGAGACACAAAACAAACAACAACACAATCCTTCCTCTGCACCGACGTCTAGCTCCACGGTTCTCTTTCTCTGCAGACCTTCGTCACCAGATGATCGGTTTTAATGTTGTGGCTCATCGCACAACTGTGCAGGCGTCTGTCACACACACCCACACACAACTACACACACACACAAACACACACAAACACACATGTACGTGCACACACAGACACACACTCCGTCCCAGCTGGTTACTGGCCTGAATCATCAGCAAAGCAAAGAGGTGAACGTTTCCTTCACACTGTAATGTGTGTGTGTGTNACAATTTATGTTAAATAAATAATCAAAAATGAACAAATGTTTATGATTTAAAGCATTATAATGATAAATTTCTTATTCCTACATTCTTACTTTCATTTGAGATTTTCTTGTTATTTTACTTTCTGCATATTTCTCCTTATTTATCTGGACTTGTGGGGATAAAACAGTATCTCTATTCTTCTCTAACAGACGCTGACTGACGGTTTTTTAAATTCACTCTGAAACCTTCAGAGTTTCATCTGAACTGTCAGATTCAGCGGTTCGTCGTCCTTTAACGTCGCCCCGCGCTCAGTTTTAACGTTTAAACCAGAAAAGTGGAATTTCCAGTTAGAAAATGTCAAACATCTCGGTCCTATCGTCTCTTTTTCTTCTCACAAAGCCTCGCTGACGTCCAGAAGCTTTTTGCTTCTCGCTGCTGCTTTCAGGAGAAACGCTGAAGTTTCTTTGAAGTGAACCTGAAAGCGTCTCGACGACCTTCGATCAGGAGAAACGGATTCAAGCCGAATAGCAACCGAAGCTTTTAGTGCTGCAGGATGAAAACTATTCAGATGTTTTAGTTTGATTGTTTCAGGTTTAAATAAAACATGAAGATGCTCGACGTAAGTTTGACTAAGAAGTTGTGATGTGGTGAACGACCTGCACCTCATCAGAAACCACAGACGCTAAACGCTGCCGCTCGGTTCGTACCTGTTGAGCAGGAAGGTGTTGTCGGAGCAGGTCAGCGCCTCCAGCAGGATCTTCTTCTCTGACACGGCGTTGGACGAGTGGAACTTCATCCAGATGAACTCCCAGACGTCCTCGTCCATCAGGCTCACGCCGGTGCAGTACACGATGTCCCGGATGTTGGGGGGAATCCTGCGGACAGGAAGTGGCATTTTAATAAACCCGACGGCATCCAGAGCCGACCGGAGGAGGTCGTGAAACCAGAAGCTGCGATGAGACACGTCTGGGATCAGGCCCGACTCGCTCCGGCTGCTAAGTGAGGAGCTCTGATCCCATTAGCGCTCCATTAGCAAACATCCCGTCGCCTCCGCTGAGCTCGTAAAAGCAGACTCACCGGGGCTCTGGAGAGCCTCGGCTGCCGAGAGCGTCTGAATTTATGGTGTTTTCGGTGGGAATGAGGTTTATTGCTGCTGTTTCTGATGACGTACGGCTTCACAATAAAACGTCTGAGTGTGAACAACAAGCATCAGGATGTAGCTCTGAGACGTACGGTGGTCAACACAGGTTTACATCCACCTGTCAGGACCTCGTACGTCGTTACCAACGACTCCCAGAGATGGAATTATTAAAACACGTGAATCTTTGTCAGAAGAAACGATCAGAAATGTTGGTTCTTTTTATACATTTTTATAACTGTACAATATCTACCATCCAGCATGGAGGTGGCAGCATCATGGTCTGAACTGGAGCTTTATACAAAGTCAATGGAACAATGAAGAAGGAGGATCACCTCCATGTTGTTCAGGAAAACCTGAAACCATCAGCAGAAGGTTGATCTTGGACACAGTTGGATGTTCCAACCAGACAATGAGTCCAAACACACATCAAAGTGGTGAAGAAATGGTTCCATCAGGCTGGAATCACTCAAACGTCTTTGTCACAAAAAAACATCTTTCATAGATTCATTAAAGGTCTTCTGGAAACATCACAAAACCCGTTGTGTCATAAATCTACAAACATAAACGTTAATATCTGGTTCAACGTCCATGTTCTCCTCAGTCCTGGTTCTTCTGGTTCCGTCCACCAGCTTCTGGTCCATCTCTGACTCCTCTGGACAGAACCGCTGCAGTTCAACTAAACT